GTACTAAAAAAAAAAAAAATCTTGATAGAAGACGAATGTAAAACCTGAAACCATAAAGTCCATAGAAAAAAACAGGTGACACTCTTCTTGACAGCAGCAAGGGGAACAAAAGCAAAAATGAACAAATAAGATTATATCCAACTAAAAAACTTCTGCACATGAAAGAAATCTGCACCAAAATGAAATGACACCAAATCAAATGGGAAAAAATATTTGCACATCATACATCCAACAAGACATAATATCCAAAACATACAAAGAACGTGTAAAATTCAACAATACAAGGGAAAAAAAAAAAAAACTAGTCTGATTGAAAAGCAGGCAGAGGATCTAAATAGATACTTCTGCAATGAAGACAGACATAGACGGCCAAGCAGCACATGAAAAGATGGTCATCATTTTTTATTAGAAGGGAAATGCAAATCAAAACAACACTAAGATAGGGCCTCCCTGGTGGCACAGAGGTTGAGCTCTGGGTTGTGAAACTGCCCGCAGCCTCCGCAGCACCGGTTCGATCCCCGGCTGCCGGGCGAGGGTCCTACATGGCGCGCAGACTCCCCTACTGCCCGCTGCTCCCCTCAGCAGTGTATTTCGTCAGTCTGCCTGCTCTGCTCCCCGCTCTGGCTCTGGTGAATTCTCTCACCCTCCCACACTTCTGACTGTACCCAGTGCTTGTATAAATAAAAAATAAAAAATTTTAAAAAACACTAAGATAGTGTCACAGACATGTGAGAATGGCTATTATCCAAAGACAGGAAACAACACATTGGAGAGGATGTGGAGAGAAGGGCATCCTCGCACAGTGAGAATGTAAATTGGTACAGCCATTAGTGAAAAGCAATATGGGGATCTGTCAAAAAAGTAAAAATAGAAATTCCATAAAATCAAAGTATCCCTCTTCTGGGTATTTACCCAAAAAAATACCAAAACACTTATTTGAAGAAATATATGCACCTCCTGTTTATTGCAGCACTATTTACAATAGCCAAGAACTGGAAGCAACCTAAGTGTCCACCAACAAATGAAGGAATAAATAAGATGTGGTACATATCTATAATGGAATATCATTCGGCTATGAAAAAGATGAAATTTGCAGTAACATGGATGACACTAGAGGGAGTTTATGCGTAGCTAAATAAGCCAGACAGAGAAAGAAAAAAAAAAATCTGATTTCACACATCTGTGGTACATAGAAAAAAACAAAGAAACAGATTAACTAATGAAAACAAAAATAAACTTTTGGACTATGAGAACAATTAGTGATTATCAGAAGAGAAGGGGGGGAATTGTTAAATTGGGACAAAGGTAACAATGGCGCCATAAAGAACAGCATTGGTCTTTTAGTGGTATACTTAATGCAGTATAGACAACTTTTAGTGATATACTTAATGCAATGTGGACACATGTTGATTTTCAAAGGTGCACACCTGAAACTTATGTAATGGTATAATGCAGTGTTACTTCAATTTTTAAAAACTGTAAGACAGACCAATAAACTTTATCTAGCACAGAAGTTCACTAGTATGTTTCCAATTCCACATCATAAGAAACTCCATTTGTCACATTTCATATGGGGTTAAAGATCCACAGTTGTCTAAAAAATTTGGTAAAACCTTCTTCCCTTTTCCAACTATATATCCAGATTTTTGTCATATTCTTTAAACAAAACAGCATATCAAAACTGACTAAATGCAGAAGCAGATGTGGAAGTCCAGCTGTCTTCTATTAAGCCAGATATTATAGAGATTTGAAAAATGTAAAACAATACATTTTTCTAAATTTGGAAAAACAGTTATTATCATTAAACTATGTTACTTATGCTAAAATGTAATAGACATCACTGCTATTTTTAATGAGTTTATAAATACATGAGTTTATTTATTTTTAAAGGAGAGTCAAGGAGGTGAAGGTCTACCCTATCTTCAGACCCTAAACTAAGATATCTTCCTATGAAAGTTAGGCTATAGAGTTAAGGCAAAGTATAAAACTCTCTGAGAGGAACAGATTCATGAATTGATTGTAGGCTGTTTGGGGTTCCATGGAAGTAGGAGAGGTATTCTTTGGGCTGACCTTGGTGGTAGATGGGTGTGTTTGCTAAGAGGTAAATACCAAGAGCTCTGCCTCTTTTCCTGAATTGCATGGTGCCAGAGTCTTCCCAGTAGGCCAGGTCAATGGAATAACTTATTTTTTTTTTAAGAGGCACGTATTTTTATTTGTTTGTTTGTTTGTTTATTTGTTTATACATGCACTGGATACAGTCAGAAGTGCGGGAGGGTGAGAGAATTCACCAGAGCCAGAGCAGGGAGCAGAGCAGGCAGAAGGACCGAAGTACACTGCTGAGGGGAGCAGCGGGCGGCAGGAGAGGTCTGCGCGCCTTGTGGGACCCTCCTCCGGTGGCCGGGGAGCAGCTGGGGATCGAACTGGTGCCGCAGACGCCGCGGGGAGCTTCACAACCCAGCGCTCAACCACTGCGCCACTGGGGAGGCCCTGGAATAACTTATTTTTTCCCCAAAATTTAGAGTCCAAAGGATTTACTAACATTAGTCAGACATTGACACTGCAAACCAGGGCTCATTTGAACACTTGACAGGCTGGGTTCCAGAAGGTCTAATTAGTAATGTGGGGGAAGCGCCAGGTTTCCTATCAGTAGATGGCGCCATGTTGGTTCACGCCCAGAAATCCCTACTAGTTGCTTTTACAACAAACCCTTGGCTCACTCCCACATGAGCTGGAAGAGAAATAATACAAGTGTGTCAGAGCAATAAGGAAGTTATTTTTCCTTCTGCTGACTTCAATGCCAAGCATTAACACACTAATTATGACATCGGGGGGACCTCAGTTCAGTTCCCCATCTTGAATTTAATTCTATGGCATCAAAGAATTGTCTTACTATCCACGGCATTGTGTTATTGGATTTGGTTAAAATGGGAGACATCCAGGGTAGCACTTACATTGCCAGCTAATGGTGTGTACTGAGCTGTGTGCTGGAGCCTTGCTAAATCTACACAGCAGGCAGGGGAGCAAGGTCCCCCCAACAGAACTCCCACTCTCTGCGTCTCTCCACTCTGACAGTACAGTTCAGGAACAATACACAACTCACCCGTATGTGCCAGGTGCTCTGCTAAGCACTGAGATAGACACTAGTGAAAATGAGAGTCTCGCTGTGCAGACACTGCCTTTCTAACAGACACAGGTAAACATTCTTGCACTGAGGTACGAGTTGTACAATATCAAAAGTATGTGGAAGGAAGAGCAACAGCCCAGAGGTGTGAGAAACTGTCTGAGGGGGTCCAGGAAGACTTTCAGAGAAGCTGACATAGAAGCCAGGCTTTGCAGGATGAAGGGGCGTTCCAAAGGAAGCATGAAAGAGCCCTCCAAGAGACAAGCACCAGCCGAGGCACAGAAGCACAGAGCAAAGGGGCCCCGGGCCCTTGAAGGAGTGTGGCCACAAGCCTGTTGTATCCCCGAGGGACTCAGAGCATGGCAATGGCCACTAGCTCTGCCATCTGTGCAGCTTCCTGCATCTCTGGGCTCTCTGGTTTCGCCTTCTGACCCTAGTTCTGCCTCCAGACCCCTCATCTTGGCGACAGAGGGATAGACTTGCCTGATGTTGATCCTCTGGATTCCTGGGCCCAATCAGCTCTGTGACCTACAACTATGAATGAAAGACACTCCCTCTTCCCCCTGCTTGGTGGTACCCTAGAGGCCAGGCCTGCCCAGCCTTCCCCACAGGGACTAGACACCAGCAAGGATCTTCAAGTTGTCTGATGGGGCTAGAATCAAACTAGAAGTGGGAGAAGGGAAGTGGCAGGAGACCAGTCTCCCTCCTCTAGAGTCTGAGTTCTGTCCTGCAGACAAGCGGAGCCACGGAGGGGCCAAGCAGGGGACAGGAGCGTCTGGTTTGCCTTCCTGGAGTCATTCTCCTGGTGACAGGGGGGTGTACTGCACAGGATAAAATCAGCATGGGAGGTAGATGAGACAGTCCAAGAGGGACTTGAGAAGGAGAGAAAGCCAGGCTTTCACGCCACTTGCGGCTGGTACCCTTCATCAGGACCTCTGTGGAGGGAGGGGCAGGACAGAACTGGGGTCCCTTTTGCTCATCCCTGTGGTTTTATAGCCCCTTCATCAAGGCTTGGATTCTGACATTTCAAGGTTTCCTCCCACTCTGTCATCATCATCATTGTTCCTCTTCCCTCCCCCCACCCTCTTCTCCCGTTCCCCTTTGGCCCTCTCTGGGATACCCCAGAACATTATGCTTTGCCTCCTAATTCCAACTCAAACCTCCCTGATGGGAGAAAATGGAAAGGGAAAACAGGTCTAAACTATAAAAAAAAAGAACTGAAGAATAACCAGCACATGTCTGTAGGAAGGAGGCACAGCCCTGCAGGAAACTATCTGGGGGGACCAGCCAGCCAGAAGAGGACAGGCCTTGCCCCTTAAAACAGAACCCCTGGGGTAAGGAGACCCACCAAAGGATTGGTCTTTCCCCAGTCTGGAAATTCTGGGGTGCTCTACAAATATGAAAAACAGCTTTGTCAAGGATTCCTTCACCTCGGAGCCTGAAGCAGGAAACCACAGCCCTCCCCAAAGACCTGGCCAGATTTCCCCTGGGAAATTGAGACCCACCCCATGGTATAGCACCCCTGCACCCACATTCTGGCTTTCTTTGTGATCACCGGCCACCTTCCACTTGCCAGGATCTATCTGCAGTGACTCTTCCAGGTCACAGCGGCCTGTTTACAGACATCTAGAATTCCCAGGCACTTTTAGGACAAGGGACTCAGGATGTTTCCAAGTGGCAGCAAAGTCTCTCTAAGAGAAGCCATTCCCCAGATCTATTTATGTCAATGTAAACACTTGCCAGGGCAACAAGGCGTGTGCGCATGTGCCAGCCCTGCTGGGCCTCGGGTTGCTGCAAAAGGCAACTGGAAAGTCACATGTCATAACAGTGGAAAGTACATACGCAACTATTCTTAGCCCTGGAATGTATACACTGTCTCCCTGCCCAGCAGTTCTTTCACAAAGCTCTAGAAAACTGTGAAAGTGCCTTCAGCATAAACAAATCCAGAACTCTCCTAGGACAAATCTTTTGCCAACTGAAGGAAAGGACTGGGTTTATGGTTTCACTCAGAGCTAGAGGTGGAAACTCTCTGGGGGCACCAGCCGGACAGGCATCGGGGGATGTCACGGCAGCAAAACAAGGTAAATATCCCTAATGTTTCATTCCTCTGCAGGGAGACTGCCGGCTGTCCTCCAGTTAGCCATGTCCAGAGTATTGTTTGGTCTCTGCTTTCTATTTATCCCATTTTTAAAACAAAATCCAAAGGCTCCATGAAGTCATGTTAAAAAAGAAAACATTGCAAAGGTCCTTTTTCATCCCTTCTTTCTGTCTAGCTACCAGAGGGTCACGCCCCCAGAATGACATCTTTGGGGAGTGACAAACACCCAGAAAGATGCTTAGATGAGTTTTCTAAATAACACATAAGCCAAGAATCTGGAGAAAAATTTCACAGACTGGGGTTAATTAATGCATAGACTGTATTCTTGATTCAGGCTACGATGCCAGCCCTTGATAATCAATGAATTTCCAGCAACCTTGGCTTTTGTTTGTTTGTTTCTCAGTGTATGTGAAGATGCTATTTGTGTGTTACCTTTGAGAATAATCAAAGCCAAAAGTGACGTGTCAGCTTTGGTATCTGGGACCTAGGTGGCCACCCTTCCCTACCTTCACTAAGCCATATTCTTGGTGACACCCATCAGCATCTTGGTGAGTGGATAGTGAGACTCTTCGGTCTAGGGCCGCCATAGCTAAGCCCGGGGCCTCCCTCTGGCTAGTCCTCCCCCTTTTCATAGGATGGATGAGGACGCACCAGATGGGCTACTCTTCAAAGACCATGACTTCTCCTCTGACTTGCTGAAGCAGCTCAATGGTTTAAGACTAAATGGGGTCCTGACAGATGTGAGCATCTGTGTGGGAGCTTGGGAGATCCCCTGCCACCGAAATGTGCTGGCCTCCAGCAGCCCCTACTTCAGGGCCATGTTCTGCAGCAACTTCCGGGAGAGCAGTGAGGCCAAAGTGCAGTTGAAAGGCATCGACCCTGAGAGCCTGGACCAGGTGGTCCTATATGTGTACACTGGGGAGGCGCACATCACAGCCCAGAACGTTCTGCCCCTGATGGAGGCAGCCTCCATGCTCCAGTATCCCAAGCTTTTTGAGGCCTGCTCCTCATACCTCCAGGGACAACTGGCCCCCAGCAACTGCCTGGGCATGATCCGACTCTCTGAAATCTTAAGTTGTGAGACCCTCAAGAAAAAAGCCAGGCACATGGCCCTGACATACTTTCCAGAGGTGGCCGCGTCGGCCGACCTGAAGGAACTCTGCGCCTTGGAGTTGAGAGACTACCTCGGTGATGACGGGCTGTGTGGGGAGGAGGAGAAGGTGTTTGAGGCCCTCATGGTGTGGATCAAGCATGACCTCCAGGCCCGGAGACGACACGTGCAGGAACTGTTCAAGCAGGTTCGTCTTCAGTACATCCACCCGGCCTTCTTCCACCACTTCATTGCCAACGATGCCCTCCTCCAGTCCTCGCCCTCATGCCAGACCATCCTGGAGACAGCCAAGAGGCAGATGTTTTCCTTGTATGGCTCCACCAGTGCCCCAGACCTCCAGCCTCCATTGCACGCCCCCCCAAGGAATTCTTACCAAGATTTCCTCATCCTCTTGGGGGGCAGGAAGGACAACCAGCAGACCACCAGGGATGTTCTGATCTACAGTGGACAGACTGGGCGATGGCAGAGTCTCACCAAACTCCCCATGCGGCTGTACAAGGCCACAGCTGTGGCCCTGCACCGCAGCGTCTATGTGCTGGGGGGCATGGTTGTGGGCACGGGGAAGAGCATGCCAAGTCGCAATGTCTACATCTTCTCCCTGAAACTCAATCAGTGGAGTCCGGTGCAGCCCATGCTGGTGGCCCGCTACTCCCACAGAAGCATTGCCCATAAGAACTACATCTTCTCCATCGGGGGCATTGGAGAAGGGCAGGAGGTCATGGACTCCATGGAGAGGTACGACAGCGTCTGCAACGTCTGGGAGAGTATGGCCAGCATGCCAGTGGGCGTGCTCCACCCTGCAGTGGCTGTGAAAGACCAAAGACTCTACCTCTTTGGGGGAGAGGACATCATGCAGAACCCTGTACGCCTTATTCAGGTAAACAGCTGGTCTTCCCCATCATGTAACTCTATGCACACGCACACACATATGCAGGTATATGCCCACAGGTGCACATTTGCATATGTACACGTACATGCACATATGCACACAGACACATTATGCACATGTGTGTACACAGGTAAACACACATATATGCAGATACAGGTGAGCCCATGTGCCTACATACAGACACATCCTTGTAATGCATGTACACATACTTAGACATACACACATATACAGATGCAAATATGCCTACACAGATATACACAATATATAATATATGCACATGATAGCACATTTGTGTGCATATGCATGTGAAATATATACACATATACATGCATACACATGTATGCATTTGTGCACATAGGTGCACATGTGTGTATATAAACATTCAAACACATACCTGTAAGCATGCACTGCATTACACATGCACACATACAAACATGAATTGTGCCTATACACAAAAACCCATACATGTATGTATTCACACTCCCATACACATTCCCACACACATGTGTTTATGTGTGTGCACATGTACACATGGGCACATATGTGTAAACACATACATGCATGGATACATACATATAATATACATACATATTTTTAGTTTGCAGGAGAAAAAGGAGAGAAGGAAGAAAAAAACAAAGGAGAGAGGGAGGGATCTTTTTAGCTAGACATTTTATCCATTTATGAGTACTTTTTTGAGTAATTCTAATACATACAAAGGTACATGAGATACAATCCTGTCCACAAAGACTTTCTCTTTCTTTAAGGAAAAAAAATAGTAGATCTAAAAGTTTAAGCCAATACACATGGAATGTCAGACAGTGACATACTGTAGGAATTTGGCAGATGCTTCTATCTACTTCACTAAGGCCTTAAAAGAGGATTGTCCAACATTGGTCCACAGTCTCACCAAAACCCCTGGAATCCACCTTCAAAGCTATTGAATCAAATCTCTTTGTATGGGGTCCTGACATCACAATTCACAAAGTCACCCAGTAATTCTAAGGCACAGCCAAGCTGGGGAACCCCTGCCTTAAAAGATAAATATATGCCAATTTTGCTAAGAAGCGCTCTGATAAATGTAATTAATAAAGACCAAAATTTCAGACTGTTAAGTGTTTTCCAACCTTACTCGAGTTCTAATCTCTACAGTTTACCTAATGACACAAAAACTTGACAACAAGCCTATCTTTAAAATAACCTAGGAAACCCCTGAGGTGTTCTTTGTTCAGCAATTGGCTTATAAGCTCCCTCAAGGAGCTTACAAAACCATTGCAATTCAGATAATGAAGAGAAGGGTGTTTGGATAGCATGGGGTGCTCAAAAACCTGCCTAGGGAACTTTGGAAGGAACTAGGTGAAGTTGATTGGAACTGACTTGAGCAGAGAGGCAGGAGAAGAGCAGGCTGGTGATGACGGAGACCAAAAGGGGAGGGAGAGTCATTGGGTGGACAGAAAGGTCTGACGTGGTCAGAGAAGGACAGAGATGGATGAGAAGCTTCTCTGAGTCTGCAGGTCTGCCGCCTGAAGCAGGAGCCAGAGTCATCAGTGAGGAAGGAGTTATGTTCCTGGTTAAGGTACCAGTAGCACAAAGGCCCTGCAAGCAGAAAGGGGCCCAGGCCGCGGCCTGGAGGAAATGAAAGCATGAAAGCGCATGTATTTGCAACACAGAGCAAGCAGGGAGCAGGGGCGGAGGTGGGGGAGGAACATGCCAAGGAAATGCCAAGGAAGCTCAGGCATAGGGGAGGGCTAGTCCCCACGTAATCACCATCAGTCCCTTTTCAAGCTACCCCGAGCAACCCCCTCCACCTGCACTGCTGCCCCTGAGCCCCTGCTATAGAAATTCTGGAACATGCATGTGAGATGGGTGTTTTTAGAGATGAGGCTGATCTGGCAGTGCTTTGGGGGCTTTATAAAGGAATTAGCCTAAAAGTAACAGGATGTCATTAAAAGTTTTTGATCAGGATGGCTGAAGTATTCAAATGAGCATTTTTAGGAGTTCCATCCAGGCACCTTGTAGAGAAGGGACAGGAGAAGGCCTTTATGAAGGAAGATGGAGGCTGAGGGTGGGTGGTAGTGGGGGCTAAGTTGGTGCCAGTGGATGTGGGGAGAGGGATGAACTCTGATGTAATGCTTTTCTTATGTTTTTCTACTTGCCGTCACTTCTCCAGCCCATATTTTCAGCTCTTCCCTGGCCTTCCAGACAGATTCTGAGTCTGTTCCAAATCCCACTCATTCACCTGGGTCCATAAAGGCCTGTTCGGCTCCCCTCCAAGCTCTGGCCATACAGTACAGATGTGAGGTAGCACTTCCATGGGAAGCTGGAGCCCCTCCCTCTTTTTAAACTAATTTTCAAAATCAACAGACGTGCAGATGATTTCACAGTGCAAAATGGTTAGTGTCATCTTAAGAATAAATAAAAAGCTCAAGACAGCTTTTCAGCTACGCTATCAAGAAATGCACAGTACAATCCAACAAGACCCTGACAAAACCAAAAAATACATAAATAGTAACATGTGAGTGAGTCTTTTCCACTGCAGTGGTGAGAAGGAGAAAATACTCGCTTGGAAGCTTTTCTTGCCCACCTAGCATAAGCTTCAAAATGCAGATTTTACTCCCTCAGATACAGTTTATGAGGAACACTTGGGGTCACTGGAGGGGGTAGTTTGGATTTTCAGACCTAGGCTCAGATTTTCTTCATCTTCCTGCGTGCGTTGTTTCAAGAACTGTATTGCAATGGGATTACGGTACAAAGTGTGTATGTCACAGTCTGATTGTTTCTGGAAGGCATTGAGCAAAGGTTTACCATCACAGAGAAACACTTCCTCCACTGGTCAGGGACCATCCCTCGTTATCTTTGCTTCAGCCTCTCTGTGGGGGTGTCAGGGATGTTGAGGAATGATGAATCTGTTTGTGAATCCAAAGCCAAAGCTGATAGAAAACAGAAGGCAGGAGGCAGTTACTCACTCAGGGGAAATGCAGCCAGTGTTTGCTTTTCCTCCAAAGATCCCACTTTCCCCACTGGGTGCTTTCAGGTGGAGTCAGGAAGCTTGAAGGCCATGTGAGTGTCCCCATCTCCAGAACTTGGCCGCCTCTGTGCTTCAGTGTTAGAGGACTAAGACCTCAAGAGGCCTCCAGTCTCAAAGCCTCCACAAGAAAAACTAGAGTCAGGCCTCCCGTGGTGGCGCAGAAGTTGAGCGCTGAGCTGTGAAGCTGCCCGCAGCCTCTGCAGCGCAGGTTCAATCCCTGGCCCCCCGGAGAGGGTCCCACATGGTGTGACAGACCTCTCCTGCCGCCCGCTGCTCCCCTCATCAGTGTACCTCGGTCCTTCTGCCTGCTCTACTCCCCGCTCTGGCTCTGGTGAATTCTCTCACCCTCCCACGCTTCTGACTGTACCCAGTGATTGAATAAATAAATAATCTTTAAAAAGAAAGGAAAAAAAGAAAAACCAGGGTCCCAGCAGAACCTGATCATGATGGTTAAGAGCAGGACTCTGTGCTTGATCAGCTCAGCTCTTCCACTCACTCTAGCTGTGTGACTTTGGGCTTGTCCCTTAACTTCTCTGAACCTCAGTCATCTAATCTGAAAAATGGGAGGAAGTAATAGTACCCATTTTATGGATGGCTCTAAAGAGCAAATCTGGCTAAATGATAAAAATTAAGTTGCTGGTAATGCTGGCAAGTATAATTACATGGAATTTCCAGCAAAGAATGCTACACCCCTTTCTCTCTAACGAATGCTCTTGTTCCTGCTCGTCTTGTGGGAGGGCCATCCTATAGCTCTTGTGCTAACTTTTTTTTTCCAGCAATAAACTAACCTACATTTGCGATGCCAGGCTTCAGCTGAGGAGGCGACCATGTCTGGGCGTTACAACTTGCTTCTCTGTTCTGAGCCTGGCAAAGGGCTCTACTAACATTACTTCTTCCACATTTTTTCTTTTTCTCAAGCTTCCTTTTTTCTAGGATTTAAGGACTTTCAGGCTTCACTATTCCAATGTCATCCTCACTTAGCCCCCCAAATTTGTTTTTGGCTCTAGGACTCTTTTAGATGCACTGAAACATTCAGACTTTTAAACATGACCCACAAATAGAAATGATGGAAAAAATCATAGGTTTTATGTGGCTCCATTTCTCATGACAAAAAAAATAGGTCCCAAATCAGGAAGCCCACTCCAAAGCATAACTTCTTGGTCCTTCTATGGAAACAGTTAGTGATCTCGTGGGGTCACAGAAAGATTGATTTCTAGTAAAAGTCTTCTTTCTAGCATTTAATTTTGTTTATTGATAGTAATATATCAACATTTTTAAAACTGGTTAAAAAAAATCATTGCTATTTTACCCTCTCAATTACTATTTCTAGCTTTTGAAAAAAATACATCACTTTAAAAGGTGGTGCCATGATTATATTTCTCTGCCAGGTTTATCACATTTCCAGAAACATGTGGTTCAAAATGGAGACGAGAATGATCAAGAACGTGTGTGCCCCCGCAGTGGTGCTGGGGGAGCGGATTGTCATCGTGGGAGGTGAGTTGGAACAGGGATCGCTGGGCTGGACACAAACTTGGCATCTCCCATGGAAAAAGGGTCACTCACAGTCAGATGTTGTTCTACAAGACGGTCTTTTTAAAAAGCACACCCATCCATGCACAGGAGTGTGGATGACTTGACAATTTCTGTTCTCATCCAGAAGTTTCTCCTTGTCTATCTCTTCGTCGAGAATGAAATAACGCCTAGCTCACAGAACTGTGGTAATGAAATGTGCTCCTTATCTAAAGCACTTAGCCCCATCCCAAGCACATGGCAAATACCCAAAAGCTTTCTGCTGTTATTCATAATATTAGCGAGTAGTGGATCATTTCTCTGTCAGGGCAGTAAAGTGTCATGTTTAAGGGGGCTGGTTTTGAGGTCAGGTAGATGTGGGTTCAAACTCTGACCATGCCACTAGCTGGCTGCATACCCCGGGCAAGTCATTACTCTCTCGGGGCCTCAACTGGGTCGTCTGTAAAATGGAGATCCTAAAAGTACCCACCAGGTCTGGCTGTTGCCAGGAGCCATGTTCCCAGTCCCTCCCACCCTGGATTTGTCACAGATGAAAAAGCCGGTGGATCTGAGAAAGCCCCCGGGAGCAGTAGGCTTCTCCCAATGCAAGAACAGACAGGGTGTGACCGTGACCTGGGGTTCAGGATGCAGCGCCCAGAATCAGTCCACAGTTGATGTCCTCACCCTAACTCTGCCACCGGCTGGGCCTGGGGCACCCAACTGCTGACCTCCCGGCCCATGTGAGCGCCTGACCTTGCCGACATGCCCTTGGTTTCCAGGCTACACCCGGCGGATTCTTGCTTATGACCCTCAGTCCAACAAGTTTGTCAAGTGCGCAGACATGAAAGACCGCAGGATGCACCACGGGGCCGCGGTCATGGGCAACAAGCTGTATGTGACCGGCGGCCGGCGGCTGACGACCAACTGCACCATCGAGGACTCGGCGGCCTTTGACTGCTACGACCCCCAGACGGACACCTGGACCTCCCAGGGGCAGCTGCCCCACCGGCTCTTTGACCACGCCTGCCTCAGTCTCCAGTGCATACCCCACGCGCGCGCCTGCCCCTGAGGCGCGGACACCGCTGCCTCCTCAAGATGCCTCAGAGGACAAGATGCTGCAGAGGACAGCACCCCAGCTCCCAAGAGCTGAGCAGAGAAGGATGCAGGGAGCCTCGCAGGACTGAGAGTCCCTGAGTGGGAGGCCAGGGGACCGAGAAACAGACCTATTATTGGCAGAACAGTGTGTGTGCGCGCGTGTGTGTGCGTGTGTGCGTGTGTGTGTGTGTGTGTGTGTGTGTGTCCCGTCTCTCCCGCCCTCCCCCTCCCTGTGTATGTCTCCTGAGTCTTCTGTCTTTCTCTGTTTTCCCCTCTCCCCCACCTCTCCTCCGGCTCTCTCTTCCCAGTCTCCCCGCGCCCCGCTCCTCTCACTACTCCATCCCTCCCTGCTCCCTCCTCCCCATCCCTCCTCCCCATCCCTCCTCCTCATCCCTCCTCTCCCTCCTCCATCCCCTCACTTCTCCCCTCCCCTCCACTCTCTCTCCCTGCTCCACCCCCCCTTCTCTACCTTGTCTCTATTAGGTTCATTCTACCAAAGAGCTGCTTTATCCGCACCGTGTGAGGTCAGTGACACTCCATAAACCCAGACTCACCTTCCCCAGCTTTGCCCTGCAGGAGAGAGCTCTACCATCGTCCTGTGAACCCTAAGTAATGGTGCTCATTGGCCCTTGAGAAAGCCATGCCTGCCTCCCAGGTCAATCACTGTTTCCGGGGATTGTGCTACTGGATAGTCCTGCATCATGTCCCTCCAGGCAGAGGGGGGTTAACTATGGTTATTGACAGCCCCCCACCCAAATGCACATTATGGGATAGAAGCATCGTCCAAAGGAAAAAGTCCTGGGCTGACAAAACCACACCTTCCCAGAACACCAGGGGAATCTGGAATGAGGGACAAAAAGGGTCCCCAGAAGCTCGGGGTCAAGGGAGCAAGGTGAGGAACTGGCCGTGACTGCGCTCCCTGCATCTGTGCATGGAGAGCCCTGGAATCCCAGAAATGTACGAGCATTTCAGTATCTCGTGTGTGCACATTTGTCTGCATTGCCAGAATAAAGCTTGTTTTTGGTGCCAAGTGTTGTTTTTCTCCAGCCTCTGGGGAGCTATAAACCTGCAGAATTAAACAGGATTTCATTTTGGTAAGTGCTATGAGAATTGCTCTTCTGAGGAAAGCCAGCAAATTCCTTCAGAGATTGCAGCAATTAGTGCCCTCATAGTCCTCTTTATCCCCCGAGCCTCCCACAATGGCTCGTTCAGAGCTCAGGAATAAGCGGAAGCAGGTGCACATTACAATCACCTGGGAAGATTTTTGGAAATGGGGCTGAACCCCATTGGAGACAGATGGATGCAGGCCCCCAGAACACTATTTCTGCAAAGCACCCCAAAGCCACTGCAAAGCACAGTCAAAGTCAGAACCACTGTCCTGCTCTACTGTGAGCCCTGACGACCCTAGGTGCCCATCCAGTTCCCTCCCCACCTGGCCAGTCCTGTCCAGTCCAGCAGTAAGAGCCAAGTCCTCTCCCTATCATGGAAGCATCTGGAATGAGTCTTGATCACCAGAGTGCCCCCAGACTGAAACCTTCCTCCCCATCCAGGCATCTAGCTCCATGCTCTTCCTAGTTTGTATTTTTGTTGTGCTTCAGTCCCTGCTACTGGGGTCTGACCACAGCCAATGGGGAGCAGAGTTTCAGACCCCAGTAGCAGGGACTGAAGCACAAAAAAAAATACAAACCAGGAATAGGTTGGAGTCAGAGAACACCTGACATCATCTGGGCCAAGGATCTGGGGATGCCCTCAATGCTGTCACCATAGCTGTTAGGTCTTCTCTGATGCAACCTATTCCCTCTGAGGCTGTCTATTCAGCCTCTCAATCCCTCCTCTCCCTGAGATGGTAACCAATGGCACCGATAGCACCAAAACTGGTGGTCAATCTTCACTTCCTATTGTGTGTGGCTGGGCAGCCACAGACCCACAGCTGACCCTCCTGCCATCTTGAAATGGCTTTCATACCCCACTTCTGGGACACCCCTCTCCCCTGCTTCCCTTCCTAATTCCTGAAGTTCATTATTATTGTTATTTTTTTATGCAATTCATTCCTGGCTCCTCTTGTTCCTATTAAATGGTGGCCCTATTAAATTAGTCCTTTGAGATGTACTTGCTTACCCTCTAGGTGAGTGAGCTCATCCAGCGCAAGATTTTAATGTGCCTGGACACGGACGACTTTCAGTTTTTTCTAATTCCAGACTCCAGCTTGTTCTGTATCACCACTTCCATGTTAAGAGGTAACTCCAACTAGACATGTTTGAGAAAGACCACTCTTCCCTCATCAAACCCCTGCCTCTCACAGACCACCCCACCCCCCAGAAAAAGGACAATAGCTGTCTCCCAGTTTCTTAGACCCAAAGCCTCCAACGCTATTCTTCACTCTCCTTTTTCTTTGTCTCAAACCCCCCCCCACCTATTCCCAACATCCCCAGTGCCCAGCAATGTCTTTTTACCCAGAGATCTAACACCAGTCCAAGCCACCATCTTACTTACCTGAACTATTACAACTGTTTCTTTTCTGATCTCTCTGCTTCTACCCTTGGCTCCTAAATTGCTTCTTTTTTTTAATTTTATTTTATATATTTTTTACAGCATTTTTCATTTCTGCACATTGTATGCATTTTCATCTTGGTTATAGTCCCCATACAACTGTGCCCCCCTTATTTTGACCCTAATCCCTCTTCCCCACCCCCCACCATAGTGTGTCTCTGGTTTACAGTTGCTTGTTGATTTTGATTTTTACTTTATTATAATTAGTCTTTCTCATAGCAGGAATTTAGAAAACCTAAATAAGGGACCAGGAAAAAGACTGAATTGCTTCTTAACACAGCAGCCTGTGTCATCTTTAACAGACATAAAGGCAAGTCAAACAGGTCATTCTCCCATTTAAAACCCTCCATTTTGAACCTTTCTGACGACGTCTGCAGTATCAAAAAAAGATACCAAGGTCACCCCTCCACACTGCCCTGCTCCCTGCGCCCCAGCTGAAGCCTTCCTATCCGTTCAGCTCTCTAGGTCCATGTTCTGGACTTTTCCTTTTTCCTCTGTCCTTCTCTGTGGCTCCCCCACACCCCTGTCTCCTCACTCTCAGTGTTAACCACACTGGCTTCCAGCCTCACAAGTTCCAAGCAAGTCTCCATTTTCTGATTTCACATGCACCGTGTCCCCCACCTGAAAACACCCCTGCATATCACACCTACAGGGTTCACCCCTCAGGCCTCTGCTAAGAGACGCCTTCCCTGACGGCTGCCCTCTTCTCATCCATCAACAGGTCCCGTCAGCAACACCCCTGAAATAGACCACAAGCCCCTCCAGTTCGTCTTCACTGCTGACTCCCCAGGGACAAGACATCCCTGCTCCCCCGCCAGTCTCCCGGACCCACTGCCCCCTCTCTTGCCGGGGTCCTCCGCCGCCCCACCGGGGAAGGCCTCCGAAAACACACACCTGGTCTTGTGACGCTCCTGTTTAAAATGATATCAGGGTTTCCGAGATATCCTTTTACATAAAGGGCCGGGTCCCTTGGTCTCGAGGCCCTTCACCATCTGGGCCTGGCCTATCCGGCCTCCTCTCTTGCCATGTCCCCACCCCCAGGGCTGCCTGCTCCAGGCATCCTCTGTGTTCCCCAGAGGGCCCTCAGGGCCTTCGCCTGGTGGCTCTCTCACCTCTTCACCTGCCAAGCACCCTTCTCTCTCGTCTCCCCCAACTTCACTGGCGTATCTGGAGGGCAGCCACCCAACACGCCAGACACACGTGCCACACCTGCCCACTCACGGACAGCTGGCTCGAGAGGATGGGGTCTCGCCAGCTGTCGAATACTACCCGGCCGAAAGGAAAGGCGAAATGCTGCCATTTACAGCAAAATGAAGGGGCTTGGGGAAAAGATGTGTAGTGAAGCAAGTCAGAGGGACAAAGGCATGCCCTGGACATTTGCATAGGGGACACTTTGATAAAACAAAATACAAAAACCAGCAGACACCAATAAATGAAGTTTCTGCAGTGAGAGGGGGGAAGAAAAGGACAAGAGGATACAGTGGGGGGTTGGGAAATACTTAAATGCATACAAAAAAAGCAAGAAACACATGACACACAGAGAGAGAGAGAGAGAGAGAGATCACTGCATCAAGGAGGACTTCCAGACACCCCTCGCCCCAGTCGAGTAGGCTGGCCTGTTTAATTGTCCCCTGTAAGTCTCCTTAGAGACCTTCATTTCATGTGTAATTAGCTGGTGACTGTCTGGGCTCCTCTGTCCTGTTCTCTGCAGGCCCCGACCAGGCACTGTGTCGCCACCTGTATTGTTGAACTGCTACAAATATGTGGTGAGTAGATTAAAGCAGCGGCGAATGAGCGCAGAGGCTGAATCTTCAAAGACTCTGGGGTGTCCTCAAACTCAGAGGCCCTAGTTTCAGCTCCCTGACCCCTGCCAAGGGGGCACCTGCCCGCCCCTCTTTCCTTTCCCTCTCCCACTGAGTCTGGATGGAGCAGGTCGCAGCCTGGCCTGCCTGGGTGAAGGGCTGTGTCTACAAGGCCCAACACGCCTGGAATGAGAAGCAGGAGTCTTGCCACTTAGAAGCTCCATCTGTGACCTCCAGCAGCCCTTCTGTTAGAGCCTGGCGAATGCCTTGGCTTTCTTTTCCCTTTGCCTCAGTCCAATATTTAATAAGCTGCCAGAGTTTGTGGCTACTAGAGCTTTCCCGAGTCCCCCTGGGGTGCAGGAGAACCATGTAAATTGCTCCCTGGGGTTTATAAAGAAAGATGGAGCTGGGTCCAAGCTCATGTGGACACACAAGGAAGGATGCCCGGAGCAGGCACCTCACACACCTGCCCAAGCCTCAAGACTACATGGGGTTGCCGAATGACCCCCAGGACGTGAGGGCCTGGAGGGGTTCATCTCAGTCCCAAATGGCAGAGAGGGAAGGCTTTGGCAAGAGACCTCCTTGTTCTCACTGACTGAGAATCAGAGTCCAGGGCTGAGGTCAAAATATATTTAGCGAGCACCAGTAAAACTGAAACATTTGAAGTAAAAATATGTCAAACAGCCCAGACAAATCGTCTCAATAGGCAACAAGGAAAGGGGGAAAGAAACAGAGAGAGAGAGAGAGAGAGAGAGAGAGAGAGAGAGAGAGAGAGCCAAGCAAGAAAAAACTAACAAAAAT